ATATTTTTCAGCTTGGTGCCCTATGACAGTGCACGTTTGAGAAATTGCTTTACAGTTGCGGCCGCAGGCCGTTGGCTGCACAATGTTTTGCTGACTTTGCATGTTGTGCCAGGAATGTTCTCCCTTTCGACCTGGCACGGGATTCATGTCTACCCAGAGACGAACTTTGTGAGTGGCGGACCACGACTGGTCACCTAGCTGGCCATATGTGTCCGTCTTTGCCACAGCCACGGAGCTGCTCCCCGCAGGGGGGGCGGCAGAATAGCAATCTGGCCGCCAACAATACACTCTCCCTGCTCATGAATACACCGTTCGGTACACGGCAATTTCTTTTAGTCTTGGACTGAACACCTGAACAAGAAGTTGTGAGAGGACTCTGAGAGGCTAAGTGACGCAATAGTGTACAGCTAATGCATTCTTTTGTTGTCTGTCAGCAGCAACAATTAAGAACGCGTGTTTCACCTTACTGGGTGGCAACCAATTCGTTTGGTGCATAATTTTGAGTTGCGACACGGTGGCTTTATACCACTGTGTCCATGGCAAATCTTTGTTCGTGGTTGTTTTTGTTGGGCCCTGCCGCCCTGCCCCTTTCGCTTTTTGCTTTGCTTCTTTGCTGGATGGCGAAACGCAAATCTGGCTGGGGGATCTGCGTGTCGCCTTTTGTTTGGTTGTTTTTGTGTTTTGTTCTGGGTTTTTGATTTGCCATGCTACATGACCACAGGTGTCAATGTAGAATTTATTTCAAACTGCTTCTTCACATGTAAGGACCGAGCCTTAGAGCGTGATCGGCCATACCAGAGGAAAAAAAAAGATCGCATGCTTTGGAAATACGGCAGCTCTTTCATCAACAAAACAGAAAGGGAAAGATTGTCATGATCAACGTAAGCAGGTACATGGGCATGGGGCTAGTTTTGGGTTCGTTTTCGGCACCTCAAACTGATATGATTTTTGGAGACGGAGTTGGGGCCTCCCTTGTTCGAGGCCCTTTATTGCCAACTCGGTGTTGGTTTGTGTAACGTTGCACCGGATTCAACTTGTTGAGGGTCCAGTTTTGAACCCCCCTGCAAAGGAAACGTGTTTAAAAAAGGGTCAGAAAGTGGACCCCCTTGAAATCAAAAGTGGTCCCGGGGATGCTTCCTACTCTTTTGCCAAGGAAGTGGACTGGAACAATGGCATTTTCCTGCAGGCCCCTGGCGAGTTTCAGCCCTTGGAAGCTTTGAAAGCCATTGACAAGATGATCGAAATGGGGGCGGCCGCAGATCCAAAGCTTCTGAAGGATGCAGCAGAAGCACATCACAAGGCCATTGGGAGCATCAGCGGGCCAAATGGTGTGACTTCGCGCGCAGACTGGGATGCTGTGAATGCAGCCCCTTATTTCAAGTTGAAGCTGATTTCACCAGCAACAGATGTGACTGGAATCTTGAACTGGGGAGGCCCGTTTTTGCGCGCCTGCTTTTTGTTACGTTTTGAGGACCAAAAAAGGCCACCCTTCTTTGTCATATTGTTTTGCTCCAATTTCCATAGCCTTGAGGCCCTTGAGGCCTGCCTTGAAGCCTGCCTCGAAGCCTGCCCCGAAATGTTTTGTTCTAATTTCCATGGTCTCCCGATACTGAGTTCGAGGCTTGCATTGAAGCCTGCCTCTAACTTTGTTTCATCCTATGAATTTTTTGTTTTCCTGCAATTTTCCGTACCCTTGAAGCTTCGAGGCTTGCCTTGAGGCCGTCCCTTTGCGCCAGCTGCGGCCTAAAATTCTAGCGAGGCAGCACAGTCACCAACTGTTTCAAGTTCAGCCTTGCTGGGACTTCAACAATAGTATTATATAGTTTCGAGTCTTCGTGAGCCTCGCTTTGTCCTTGTGCCAATACGTTTTGCGTCCGAGGCGTGGCCTCGGCCAGGCCTCGCGAGCCTCGAAGCGCTTCGATCGCAGGCTTTGGAAATACGGCAGCTCTTTCATCAACAAAACAGAAAGGGAAAGATTGTCATGATCAACGTAAGCAGGTACATGGGGCTAGTTTTGGGTTCGTTTTTGGCACCTCAAACTGATATGATTTTTGGAGACGGAGTTGGGGCCTCCCTTGTTCGAGGCCCTTTATTGCCAACTCGGTGTTGGTTTGTGTAACGTTGCACCGGATTCAACCTGTTGAGGGTCCAGTTTTGAACCCCCCTGCAAAGGAAACGTGTTTAAAAAAGGGTCAGAAAGTGGACCCCCTTGAAATCAAAAGTGGTCCCCCCTGGAGGGTCCAGTTTTGGCCCCTTATTTCAAGTTGAAGCTGATTTCACCAGCAACAGCTGCGACTGGAATCTTGAACTGTACAAGAAACAAAGTGGGACGCAGAGAGAGAAAGCATGTATTAACACTTACTTTCATGACATGCCTTCCTTCTTAGTCACCTCCAAAACTAGGGTTTGAGGACCTCCAGCAATTGGCATTGCGTGAAAGAATCCATGGATCCGTACGGTAAGTATTTTGCTGACCGCAGTGCCCGACAGCCTGAATTGCATCAGTGCGACACTGTTCACAGCCCGGGGTTCTGTTCCTCCGCCAGATCCACGGCTTTACCTGTAGTGTCGAACCGTGTGTGGAAGAGTCCGCCAAGTTTTGACGGATGATTCCCTTTTGCAAGCTGCTTGCCAAGATCCTGAAGTGCTTAGGAAAGACCGTTCTGAATGGCCTCCAGCCAGGCCGGCCAAAGCAAGATGTTCTCGCAATGAGTTTTTGGAGCTTGCAAAGCGGTGGCCTGGTGTCTGACCTGCTGGTGCTGTCCTCTTTCTGCTTTCTCGGGCGTTCTAGTGACGCTGCCTGCTGGTCTGAAGATTGGTTATGCGTTGTTTCCTCTCCTCATTGCGCCGTATGGCAATAAAGGCTTCGGCCCTGTGTGGGGCATCGCCCTCTACACCATGCTGCGCCTGTTGTTTTGGTTCCTGCATGTGTCCCCCTTCTTGTTCCATGCTGCTAGTGCTCCCCTCTGTCCTCCTCTGCTTTCCCTTGGCGCTTCTCCTTTCCTGCTGCCGCGTTTGCTCTTGTCAATGTTGTTTTGGTTCTCACTGAGGTAAGTCATAGATACAAGGAGTGGCCCGCACCTTAGACATAGCTTCAGAACTGCACCTTCGCGTCCACAGACAGGACGAGTTGGTGCACAGTTTTCTAGTGTGTTGATCTTGTTTGTTGTACTTCTGCTTTTACGCGTTTGTTTTCTCAATTGCCACTAAGGAGATTAAGGTCATCATGAGCCGCCTGCCATAATAAGCCACAGGTCACCCAACTTAGGAACTCCCGAGGTTCCCCCCCCACCTTCCCGCAGGTTCATCTGGCTTTGTTTCCTGCCTTTCTCTAGTTGTTGCTCTGGGGGGTAGCAGTGTAGCCGGCCGAAGCCATGAACTAGACTGCACTGCAGCGAGTGGTTCTGGCGCTGACCACGGCTGCTCTCTGCCGGACAGTCCGGGGCGCCCATGTGCAGCAAAGTCTGCCCCTATGGCTTGTTGAGGCGGTGCGATGATCGAACAGTTGCTCCACTTTACGGGTGAGTGGATACCCACTGCTGAGTACTCTGCTCCTGATGAGCATACTTTACCGACATAGCGCTATACTGCAAGTACTGGATGATGACGATGATCTTCTGAAAGTGCCTGAACAGTGAGAGCTACGTCGTAATCGTTTTTGCCCCTCCAACATGCAGGATTGGATGACGTTTTTCACTGATGCGGCATTTTTAGTATGCCGCGCAGCTTTTCTGTGACCGGTAGCTTGGCCCTGCCGGATCACATTGTCTGGGCCCTTTGTGCCGTTCCCCCCTTGGGGACGGCACGGCAGCAAACAGTGTCAGATGACCCTACCTCGATATTGGCGACAGGGCCAAGTCCTACTTTTTCAGGGTATGATGACGGATGCTTGGAAAAGCACATGTCATGTGAGAGAAATCTGAGGAGGCTTCCGTAGTGTACAGTTCACCAATGTAATATTACGATTTGCCACTTATGACCGGCAGTTGCAATATTTTTCACACCGCTTGCTGGGCCATTGACAATAACAGTACAGTCTCAATGTGCATGGTGCTTTTTGTGTGGGTGTTTTGTTTGGGCCCTGGCCGGGCCCCGTTCCTTGTTTTGCTTCGCTGTTGTTTCTCTTTGGCGAAACGCAAATCTGGCCGGGGGATTTGCGTGTCGTCGGTTTTGGTGGTTTGTGGTGTTGTTTTTGTTTGATGATTTGCCTTTTTCTTATGAAACCAAGGCGTTTCATGCTGAATTTTCTAATTTGTTTACTCGCTTATCCCAATGTTAGGACCGAGCCTCAGAGCGATATCGGCCACAACAGAGGAAAAAAAGGAGCTTGCAAAGCGGTGGGATGATTTAGGCGCCTGCTCATTACTCCCTGCGTCTCAGAAAGATTTCCAAGAAGCAGTTGGCCTCTTTTGTGTGCTAAAGGATGCTGAGTTCGACAGGTTGATAGTTAACCCAGTTACTATTAACAGTCGCATGCATAGCATTTCTCGTTCGACAAAAGAGCTCGCTTCTGGTTGCATGTTAGGCCTTTTGCACTTGGAACTTGGGGAAGCCTGTCGGTTTTGTGCTGATGATCTCTCTGACTATTATTACACACCTTTATCATTTCAGAAGCTCGTGCTCACCGGAATGCTTTCAGAACAGTGTTTAGTAGCGATGAGGTCTCCCACTTCAAATTTTTCAGACCTGAGTTTGCTGGCCAGCAGATGTTGGTTTGTCTGCGGACGTTGGCGATGGGTGATAACTTAGCTGTTGAAATTGCTCAGCAAGCTCATAGCAACGTGTTAAAGCTTTACTGCGGTGCTCTGCGTCCAGCCGAGACCTTGAAATACCGCTCTCCCATCCCTCGTTCTGATTTTGTTGAACTTTTGGCAATTGATGACCATGTGGGGGTGCAGAAGGTCTTGGTCAGTGAGCTAAAAAAGTCACCCCGTCAAGCGTGACACCGACATTTTTGCTGCTGCGACCAAAGCCACGCTCACGTTGGCCTGATTCAGCAGGAAAAGAAGCGAAAGCGTAACCAAACCCAGGGCATTATTTTGGGAGCAAATTTTGACGGTGTTGCAGGGCGAGTGATGGCTCCTAGGAATCGTTTGCTTTTGCTTTGCATGATCACTTTGAACATAGGGAACCTGCACACCTAGACTCCTCAGTACCATTTTAGGGTGTTGGATTCATGTCCTCCTCTTCCGCCGTGCACTTTTTTTCCATTTTGGATGCTGTCTTCAGTGAGGGTAAAGCTAAATCAGGATGAAGTGTTTTGCCTCAGCCGGAAAGGTCTTAGTGAGTTGCAACTGCTCAGTTGCTTGGGGCCTCTTGCACAAAATGACCTCAGGGCCAGGTATTGCGACCGTATCTTTTGCGCTGATGCCCCTCGCGGAGCCGTTTGCGCGGCTCAGATTGGAAAGGAAGCATGCAAAGAGTTTTGGCGACACACTGAACAGAAAGGTTTTTACACTCGCCTTCTTAGTGAACCCAGTGCTGTGCTTCATGAACATGGAGTTGATAGTAACTGTGCAGACCAGTTTGTTTCAGCTCCATTTGACACCAGCGGTGTGACCGCCGATCCTGCTTTGAACATTCCTTGTCCGATTTCTGAAGGGGTTTTGTATGATGTTTGTGAAATTTTTCGGGGCAGTGGAAACTGGACCCAAGCTCACGTAGATTTCGGCCTGACTTGCCATGATGGTTTCGACATTGACAGCCGCCGGCTGCGAGTTGGTGATTTGCAAGATGCTGCACAGTGTTTCATGAGTTGGTTGGTCTCGCTTTGAGGCGGGTAGTCCGGGATTTCCATGCAGGGATTCCCTGTTTTGGGACATTTCGTAGGCCCCAGGTTAGATCGAATTCAAAGCCTTTAGGATTTGACACTTCTGACCCCTTCACAGCCTATCATGACCGCCTTGCACAGCGGACAGCCTTCATTTTGACCATTGCGTTACTTGCAGGTGCCTTTATCAGTGTTGAGCAGCCTCGCAACAGCCGTCTGTATCGGCTGCATTGTTCCAAAGTGCTGTTGCAACTTGGCTGCGTGATCAGCCACGTTGCATTTTGCTGTTATGGCAGTGCCTTTCACAAGCCTTCCAAGTGGCTTCACAATAAGCCCTGGCTTTGTGAGCTTGAAAGTAAAGGTTCCTACAATCAAAGCAAAGGTCATTTCAAGATTGAAGGTTCTTTTACCAAGTCCAGCGTTGAAGTTTTCAGATCCATGTGTAAGCCGTCATGCGAAGCTGTGTATGGTGTCTGCCCAAAACCAGGTGATGCAGTTGCTGCCTTCTCTGCAGCGTATCCTCGAGCCTTGGTTTCCAGAATGGCCTCCGGCCTGTTGGCCGCCAAAAGTGGTCAGTTGCATCCAGAAAGCAGTCTGTCAGATTGCGCAATTTTCGCGAAGTTGGTTTGTTGGATTTTGATTCAGTTTCGCTGCCATCACCGGAAGAACCGTATCCACCTCGTGAGTGGTTCGAAGATCCTGAATGGATTCATGAGATTTGTAATTGCCTTAGCTTCAAAGAGCTTTTCCGTTTCCGTTTTCGCACTTCTGGGCACATAAATGTGAATGAGACAAGAACCTATAAGACTTGGATCAAATCTCTTGCTAAAAGTGACCCAGACAGTCGCATGGTTGCTCTCTTGGATAGTAGGGTCACCATAGGAGCTTCAGAGAAAGGCAGATCTAGCTCATATGCTTTGAGCCGTGTTCTCCAGGGCACTATTCCTTATGTGGTAGGCGGGGTTATATCCTGGTTGTTTACATTGCTATTCAGCCGATAATAAGGCCGATGAACCTTCACGTGACAAGGCAGTTCGGCCACCCAGCTTCCCTTTTCCTGCGTGGCTGGTGCGCTTGCAAGCCGGAGATCCTTGGGTCTTCGATCAAGTTGTGCAGCGCAGTTCCCACGCTAGCTGCCAGATGGCTGCGTTTTTTTTGCTACTTTTGGGGGGTGACATTGAACCAAACCCTGGTCCAAAGTCTAAGCTTCGCGCGGAGGCCCCTGGATTTGAGTGTCGGGTTTGCTGACGTGACAGCTGATCGCATGAAACGGTGCTTGACAGCTTTTGAAGCTTGGGTGTCCTGCGAACTAGGTATCCCCTGGAACAAGATCGAACAAGATCCTCATGCTTTTTGCTTTGCGCTTAGAGTGTATGGTTTGCACTGTTTTGAGATTGGCCTCCCCCGCTACATAAGCGCAAGACCAGTACCCATTGACAAAGAATTTCATGGGGCTCGCATGGCAGATAGATCGAAAATGGCAGATCCATGAGCCTGGTTCTTGTCGCTCTGTGATCCCAGCTGTCGTGCTGAGAGCAGCTGTTTGCCTAGCTTGCCTGTGGAACTGGTCCTGTTGGGCTGCCTTAGTTTTACTGGGTTTTGGAGCGATGCTGCATCCTTCTGAGATGATGGCCTTGGAGCGCCGGGACCTTATTTTTCCAAAAGATGTTTGCTATGATTCCGCAAGCCTGTTTCTGCGTATTCGTGATCCCAAGACAGCCAGATTTGCTCGCCGCCAGCATGGGCGGATTGATGATGAGGTTGTCATTAGGGTGGCTTTCCAAGCTTTTGGTGGCCTGCCTCCTGCTGAGCGGCTGTTTCATGGTTCGATGCCTACTTTCAGACAGCAGTGGAACTGTATCATGCAACATTCAGGGGTCCCGCCTCGCACTCCCAATCTCTCCATGGTGCTACTCCTGGCGTTTTGCGTGGGTCTGGAGCCACGTATTTGTCCTCAAGCTCTGAGGACGTAAATTGGGTAGCCTGGCGCGGCCGTTGGAGCCGCGTTAGAACTTTAGAGTACTACTTGCAAGAGGTTGCTGCATATGTCCTCATGCATACTTTGTCTCCCCAAGCAAAGGAGCGCATAGATCTTCTTTTTAGAGCTGCCTGGAGTGTTTTGGTCTCCGCGTTTTCCTTGCAGAGCAGTGTGGAAGGAGCGGAAAGATCTGGCTTTGATTTTTGAGTATGAGTTTTAGCAGCTGCGTTGGCATTCACTGCAGAGGTCTTCTTTTTCAGCTGGATTGACCATGAGATGTCTCTGGATCGCACGATTAATTTATCACTGATCAATCCCGGAGAACACTCCAAAGAAACTTTGTGTATGAGCAAGCGGAAAAGCAGATACCTTTTCATCTCTTGAAGCGGCAATTAACCAACATGGCTGTCAAACTTTTTTGGGCCCTCAGCCGCCCACCCGGAAAGATCTGGCTTTGATTCTTGAGTATGACTTTTAGCAGCTGCATTAGCATTCACTGCAGAGGTCTTCTTTTTCAGCTGGATTGACCATGAGATGTCTCTGGATCGTACGATTAATTTATCACTGATCAATCCCGGAGAACACTCCAGGGAAACTTTGCGTGTGAGCGAGCGGAAAAGCATATATATATATATATTAATATATACTTATACCAGTAGTACCGCACAAGGCGGTGGCGGAAGTTTCAAAAATAGGAAACCTATAGGAGACGTTGGTTGTTGTGAATCACGGATGGCAGAGCGAATCCACTGATTGACCGAAAGGTGGTTGGAGTTGTGTTTGCTGGAATGGTTGCAATGGTTGCAGTGGTCACCTCACCCACAACTGCTGGATGTAGTGTGATGTACTGCAACTGTAGTTGTAGTTGTAGCGTAGTGGAGTTGTAGTTGTGGTGTAATGTAATTAGTGTAGTGTAGTTGCAGTCATATAGTTGTAGCTGTAGTTGTTTTGTAGTTGTAGTTGTAGTTGTTGTAGTTGTTGTAGTTGTTGTGTGGTTGTAGTTGT